GGACCAGCAGTTAGCGTAATGGCTATGTCGCTGGACTCCCACATAGTCGACCGTGGTTTGAGTCCCGGACCTGGTGGCTTAAACTCACGCAGGGCGCATGTGCGTGCATGCCCAAGATCCCGAAAGGAGACTGGAGAAGGGACTGTGGCGTGGTCATCCCCCTAGGGGTTGATTTCCTGCTTTCTGTCTCTCTGTCTCTCTCTGGCGAGCACACGCGCCCTATAGCAAAAAGCCTCTCCAAAAAAAAAAAAAAAAGATAAAGCCTACCCAGATAAACTTCTTTGGCACCTCACTTTTTGAGAGCCACATTTCCCCCCATATCTTAATAATTGGTGGGGCCTGGCTGCATCTAGGCTGGTTAAATTATCAGATGTTAATTGGGAGGATATAATGAGAACAGGACATGACAACTGGTCCACAGATTTTCAGAAGGCTAACTATATACACAATATTAATCTTTATTCTCCCTCATGAAAATAGACACTAAATTACTAAACTTTAGCAAATGTAGGCTTAAAAAGCAAATCAGAGAAAGGTTAAACTCAAACTGGTTACGGGAGACCTCTCTCAGACCAATTTATACGGGGAAAATATGAGGTTTTTTCTTTTTTCTTTTCTTTTCTTTTTTTTTTTTTTTGAGAGGTTTTCGCTATAGGGCGACAGACAGAGAGAGACATAGAGACAGAAAGCGAGAAATCACCCCCCAGAGGGGATGGTTACGCAGTAATCCCTTCTCCTCCATTCTCCTCTCGGGATCTTGGGCACGCATGCACACGCGCCCAGCGTGAGTTTTAAGCCACCGAGTTTGGCACACAAACCGCGGTCGACTACGTGCGAGTCCAGCGACATAGCCATTACGCTAACTGCTGGTTCCCTATGAGGTTTTTTTCTTTTGAGAGAGGTTTTTGCTATAGGGCACATGCACTTGCCAGAGAGACAGAGAGACAAAAAGGAGAAACCCCCCCCCCCCCCGGGGGGGGGGATGGCAACGCCACAATCCCTTCTCCTTCATTCCCCTCTCGGGATCTTGGGCACGCACACAAATGCACCCAGCATGAGTTTAAGCCACTGGGTCCGGGACTCGAACCGCGTTTGACTATACAATAGTCCAGTGTCATAGCCACTACACCAACTGCTGGTCCTGAAAAAATGAGTATTTTATATAAACCAAATTATAGTAGTTACCAATTGATAATCTGAGGTTTAAAAAAGTGTTCGAATATATACTACATAGGTACAATTTTTTAAAAGCAAACAGCTACAGATTTTAATGCTATTGAGTACACATTTTCCTCAAGTCTGCAACTACTTACAGGACAAAACTAATCCAAATAAAACTAATCTTTCAAAGGGAGATTTGTAACATGGGAAACTCATAATGAACCTTAAAAAAAAAAAAAAAAAGAGAGAGAGAGAGAGATAACTTTTGCCAGAGAGACAAACAGAAAGTGAGAAATCACCCCACACCCCGCAAAGGGGATGGCCCTGCCACAATCCCTTCCCTGCCATTCTTCTCTAGTGATTTTGGGCACACATGCCCAGCGTGAATTTTAAGCCACCAGGTCCAGGACTCGAACTGCAGTCGCCTAAGTGGGAATGCTAGGTCTCAAAAATTACCTTTTAAAAACATAGTATGGGGACCAGCAGTTAGCATAATGGCTATGTCACTGGACTCCCATGTAGTCGACCACGGTTCAAGTCCCAGACCCGGTGGCTTAAACTCATGCCAGGCATGTGTGCATGCATGCCCAAGATCCCGAGAGGAGAATGGAGGAAAAGGGATTGCGATGTGGCCATCCTCCCGGGGGGGTGATTTCTCGCTTTCTGTCTCTCTGTCTCTGTCTGTCTGGCAAGTGCACATGCCCTATAGCAAAAAACCTCTAAAAAAAAAGTATATATTATGAGGGGCCAGCACTTGGCATGGTGGTTAAGGTGCTGGACATTCCCACATGGCAGGCCATGGTTGGAGTCCAATGGCTTGCTTTCTCACTTTCCCTCTCTCTCTGTCTCTCCCTCTGGTCAAATTTAAAAAAATAAAAAAGAATGCATAAATAAAATGAAATAATTATTTTTAAAATATATACATGAGGGTTTTTTTAAACTTTTTTTTAAATTAATTAATTTACATTCATTTCCTGAGCATCATCACACCATACAAAACATGATTTCCCATCCATAATATATTGCATAGTGGCTCAATCATGCATGTTGTTGTCAATAATTTTCCATTTCTAGTTTTATATGTATATAAATAAATCTTTAAATGTGTGTGTGTGTGTGTGTGTGTGTGTGTATATATAAAATGCATATAAATGAAAGGCAGGCTAAACGTCACCAATGTGCTTGGTTACAAAACCATTAACATTCTGATTCAATCAACTTACAATGTTTAACTGAAGCCCCAGGAGGACTTTAAATCACAGAAATTTAGACTTAGAAATACTCATTAATTTACAGTCCAACGCTCTACAGATGAAGAAACCAAAGCTCAGAGAACCTAAGTAACTTGTTAAAAGGTAAAAGCTCTCCAGCTTCTTAGAAAAACTCGAAATGGTTGATATATTGCTGTATTTGGTTCACTGGCATCCAAAAATACCCAATTAATTCCAGGAGATGCTAATTTTAGTCCACTATGGCCCTAGGACCTGGAAACGAACATACCTGTAGCCTAACAAACTTTGAAGCAAGAGAGAGCCGTGAGAGCAAGTTGGCTCCACTGCAGAGCCCAGGACGCCCCGCCACGGCACACAGAACAGACGCTATGTTATATGTCTGTGATAAATGATAAATTAAAATAAACTAGCAAAATCAGTACTTTAAGCCAGTGGTCCTCAACCTCTGGTGCTCATCAGAATCCGACTTCCAAAACATGCGTACACAATGTGCTCAGAGCCTGGAGGTGGAGTCTGCCTACTGAGGGCCAGGTGCCTGTGCATGACGGTTCTGGTGACCACGACAGTTTGAGAGTCCTCCTCCCCGGCGGTCTCCTTATTCTAAGGACAGTCTGTGCACAGGCGGTAAGACGATTCAGTTTCATCTCAGGAACAAACACAGGCATCACAGCACAGCAGGAGTAGCTGGGCATCTCTGCTCAGATCACGAGGGGAAGGGTGCAACTGATGAAAACGACAAGGTTGGGAGCTGCCTTCTTTCAACTAGGGATGTAGGAACAGCCCAAGTACTTATGACACCAGGAAATGCTTGAAGCAAAGAAAGCTTACATCATCCACCTTGTAGGCACGAGATGTTAAGGGTGTTTTGGATAAGATATTAACTTTAGTAAGAGGATATTTTCCATTTACATCTTCTATAAATACCCCTTAAGTTTATGCCAGGTGTTTAGAGGAAAAGCCTGCAGCTCCCCAGGGCCACAGCAGAGAAGGTTTCAGTGTTTCTGAGGAGCCTCATTTGCCTGATGCATGACTGTTAAAGTTTTTTCCTACACAACCCTAAATCAGTTTTCACATTTGCATATTCCAGGTTTACTCAGGAATGCTCAACTTAAGAATCACAGGTGGTTGCTCAGTAAATCAAAGGCTCCCAGAAGATTAGGTTTTATAATGCTTCCTGAAATTTACAGCTGCACTTTGCCAGCAGGTCTGAATTCAGATGAGTCCAAGTTGATCCCAAAATTATAAATCAAAGAATCTCAGAAGAGTATTACTCTATTTTAGTACTTTTACAGTTTACTGTATGTAAAATGCTATTTCTATGCTTTCTATAAAAAAAAAAATCCAGCAAGAATTTGAGCAGGACTTCTTTCTGCAGTAAACTCTCCAGTTTTATAAAAATATCAAATACTTTCCAGCCTAATTTAGAGTAAGAAGTTGACACACACAACTCTGCCATCCTGAACAAAAGCTAAGGCCTGTCAACCAAGTGAGCTCCCTTCAAAATCACACACACACACACACACACACACACACACACGTGTGCAAGCACAAACACGAACCTTGGCCAACTGATCAATTCTAATCACTTAATGACAGGCCAGCTTTGATCAAACAACCGATAAAGGAAAGAGAAAGCCCTGTCTTTAGACTCAGTCAGACCCCACTGCCAGTCCTGGCTGGATCCTGCAGAGGCCGGTGACCTTGGGCAAGTTACCCTAACCTCTCCAGGCCTCAGTTTCTCCCCAGAAGGCCGGAGGTGCTAAGAGCGGCCACCTCTTGCCTTTGTTGTGACGGAGATCGCAGCGCCTCCCGGCGCCCGCACTGAGCGCCCCGGCGGCCGAGCGGTGGTCAGCGGTCAGAGGCCGCCCGCCCCCGGGGCCCCCAGCCCAAATCCCAACCACGCGACGCGAACTCTGGGCAGGAAACACAAAGAACGGCTTTAATTCTGAGAGCTCTCCGGCCGCAGGCTCCTCATCCTCCAGTTCCTCAAATGAATGAATGAGCGCCTAGGAGTGGCTCCTCGCAGGCGCGTCTAAGGATCACCTCCGCGACTCGAAGGTAACTGTCCTCGCCAATTAAACGCCGAGTACGCTCGCAGGCGGCACCGGCCACACGTCTCGGCGGCGCCGAGCGCGGGCGCGTCCTCGATGCCCACAGGCGGCCTCCATTCATCCTCTCCCAACCCGCCCCTGCCCGGAACCCCGGGTCAGCCCCGGCCCTCCGCGCCCGCAGAGGCTCTCCTCCGGCTCTCGGCGCCCCGCGGGGACCTGTCACCCGACCCGCGGGGCCGACGCAGGGGCCACCTCTCCCCTGCCCTCAGCGGCGAGGCCCGGGCGTGCAGCCGTCCCCTGGCCGCCGACGCCGAGGAGGGCGGAGGGCGGCCCGGCCCGCCTCTCCTCCCCGGTTACCGGTCAGTCCCTGCCGGGCCCCGCCGGAGAAAGCTAACAAGAGGCAGGGGGAAGCTCCCCGAGCCTCCCTCCCGGGTCCCCTACCGCGAACCTGGGGCCTCTGCCCCGGCCCCCTAGAGCCTCCCGGCCTGGGATCATGCTGCCACGGCTGCCCCGAGAAGCCCCGGTAAAAAGGAGGGGGAGACACCCCCATACTCACCCACCGTCTCCTCCCCCTCAGCTGTTTACCTCACAGCTCCTCCAGCCTACAGGGCGCCGCCATCTTGGACGTACAGCACCTCCCCCCGTGGTGAAGAGTCCATACCGGCCGCGGCGGCCGCCCCGAAAAAA